CAACTTGGTTGACGTCGTCGGCGTTGCCGCCACTTGGGTCATCTTCTCCAAGCAGGTCTTGGGGAAGTTGGCCTTTCCAAGGGGTGTCCCGTCGTCCCACACGTCGGCCTCGCATTGAGTCACGCACATCTCATGCAGCTGGTGGCGGCTGACGACGCGCATGGTGAGGTTGAAGCGTAAGGGCGTGGCGTCGTCATGCGGAGTGTGGAAGCTGGATGCCCCGATATTGGTGATCTCCACTTGGTGGAACCTGTCCTCTGTATAGTCCCCGATTGCGGAAGCACACGGAGACATCCCGACGAGTGTGGAAGCTGGATGGCCCATGGCCGAGTACTTCTTCCCCTCCCACCGTAATTAATTACTTCTAAGTAGGTGTGATGTGAACCCTTATATATACAGTAATGGATAGCAAAATTTGTTTACTTCTTTCATAAAAGTCAAGGCCTCTTTTGGTTCATAGGATAAGATTATCATAGGAATAGAAATCTTGTAGGAAATGAGATGACATGTATCTCAAATCCTATGAGTAGGAATAGAAAATAAGATGTCATTTGGTTGATACCAAAGGAATTTTTTCATTGAGTCTAGACTCTTTTTTATTTTTCTATGAAATGTGGAGGATAGGAACCAATCCTATGTGGGAATAGGAATCCATTCCTATGAACCAAAGGGTTCTAAAGGAAAAAATCCTATAAAAATCCTATCCTCTAGAATCCTATGAAATTCCTCTAAACCAAAAAAGGCCCGAGTCTTTTTTAGCAATAATGAAGAACTGATAGTATATTCCTTTTATTTAATATCTAGAAGCTTGTACAGTTTGGGAAGAGGAATTTTATAGAGAAAAGAAGAATCTACTTCGACCGCTACATAGTACTAGAATCGGTTGAAGTAGATTCTTGGTCGGTGAGCATCTAGATATTAGAGAAAGCTAGTTAGTTGTAGATGCACTCTCCTGGCAGATGGAGGTTGGACCTTCCCTTGTCGTCACAGTAGTTGTAGGTCATATACTTGCTCTTGACGTTTTTGTACGCTTCCTTCTGCACGGGCGTTAGGTCGTGGAACTTGTTCCACCATAGGTTCGGTGAGCCACACGGTGCACCTCTAGTGGCCGGGCATGCGTCTACATTGAACCTCTGGAATGCGGAGGTAAACGGCGCACGGTTCCAGTCAACCCTGATATTGCCGTTGTCTGTCGCCCAGGAAGAGCCGTCCCAAATGCTCGCCCGGATTTTCATCGGCCTCGATGGGAACTGGTAGCCCGGCGTGCGCCCCGGTAGGTTCTTCAGCACCCGTATGGGCGTTTCGTCGACGAGCATCTTGTGATTGATGTGCACCTGATATATTATGTGCATTTATCTTCTGAGCAGATGGGAAAGGGGTCAGGGGATAGATGATGTACTTACACGAGCTGGTGTTGGTTCCAGAGTATCTTGTAGTCATGGACAGCTGCTGATGGATCGAACCAGAGGTAGAACTTCTGCTCCCTGTAGCCCTGGCCGTTTAGGAAGATGTTGGTCTGGAGAGCCACTGGCTTGCCATCGACGTTGCCCAAGAACTCGAAATCCACCTCGTCATGGTCACCGTACTCGGGCTGCGTCGTGAGCTAGATGTGTGCATACAAGAATGTATATCTGACTTCTGCTTTTCATCAAGTCAAAGGAAATGGCTGGAGCATACAAGATGTGTCAACACTCACATAGAAGGCCGTTACAACTCCGGCAGTATACCCGGCGGGTATCTTGATCCTCATGTGGAACAACCCTGAGCCATACATCATTTTGGAGCTAAATCCCGCCCCTGCATCAGCCGAAAGACAAATGAAAAACTATTAATGTTATTCAATTCGAGTCAATTTAGCAAAAAGTGTGTAAAGAACCATATATGTGCAAAAAATGATCATATGTACCGGAGTTTCTATCCATGGTGAGGGAAACCTGTGTCCCATGATTGGCTAGGTGATAACCATCAGCACACCATACCGGCACGAAGTTCTCATTGAACACCGTCGCTGGTCCTCCAAGGCTAAGTCCAACGAAGAGGAGGAGGACGAGGAGGAGAGCCCATGGCTTCAAACTAAAAGTCATTGCTAGCTGGATTGGTTAAGAGATCTATGTGCTTGCTGCCTAACCAAATTCTGAACTTCAGTCTGACACTGCTTCAACATATTAGACCACATTCTTATATAGCCTACGCCCATTGAAAACTTAATTGACAAAAAATAGCATTAAATAAATGTTTTCTTAAAATGCAAATTATTGAACATTAGAACCATTTAATTGTGATTCACTAGAAAGTAATGTATATATTTACTAAAATATATGTTCTTGCACAAATCTTTAGCATTTTTATTTTTAATATATATCATTAATATTAAAAATTAATTAATTAAATCTTTATAACTCTTCTATTATTTATAGTTTTGCTGCCTACTATTTTCAATTTTGTCACATCCCTTTGAATTGCTCTTGTATGAAGTTGGAACTGAAATTATTCCCAAAAGAATTGGGCAACACTTGCCTTCGGTACTTGTCTTAAAATGATGGTGCATTTCAATGGAAATTACTATTTCAGTCTTAGCTTGAAATACCTCAAATTGGAAGAACTCATTCGTCCCCCTTTCTGATAATACCTATCATCTCCATTCAAAAAAAGTAGTTAGAAATATACTACACCCTTTGTACACATTTATTAGGTCAGCGGGCTATTTCAGCGAGGCCAAGGGACCATGCTTAATAAATGCGAGAGATATATTTTCCATAATTAAAAAATTGACTATGAATTTGCCATAATATTGCACGGGGTCTCTTGATTTAAATGCCGATTTGATTTTATCCCCATATAATTAAGTTAGTTCATCTCCCGATTTAAATGTTGATCCCATCTCCCGATGCACGTCGAATTACATCTCTCAATTTAATTATATCAAGACAAGAACGGAAAAGGGAGGGTGATCGAGAAAAGCTTGAACACACATCTATGCTTCCACTCGCCTTCTCAAATATAATTATATACTTTGCAACCAACTTTACTACTTCGGAAAATCTCCACAACTTGCGAGATCCTTTTTGAATGTTTTGAAACTTGTTTGTGAACTTTGAACCTGTCCTTTAGTTCAAATCCTTATATAAAATTCAAATTTGCTTCAAAATCCAATTGAAGTCGATTATAAAATTATAGCTCTAGTTCACTTATTCGCTGCCCATATTATCCTACAAATGTAACAGAAGCCCATTAGTACCCCATACATGTCAATTTTGGCGTTTCATGCGACCGCAGATTCAACCTGGAGAGCGTTCAAATTTTTATTGTAAAAATATTTTGTAAACTTGTATAATCATCTTAATTCATCTATGTACCAAATTCTCAATTTTCCACCAAGCATTTTCAAATTGAAAATTCATTTGAGTTCTCGTTTGAAGTAATTTCATTCTTTGGATAAATTTCACATTATATACATTATAAAAAGAAATTAAAATTGTCAAAGTATCTCATATCCGTCAAATGATCATCCTAAAAAATTTAGGCCACAACCACAGATTCTGAAAGTATTACAACTCAAGTTCACCACGCATTTGACTAGATTTCACGAACTCGCCTCCTATACTTAGTGCCTTTTCCCGCTCCATATTGCGCAACAAACTGTGGAAAGCATACCGTATACATGCCATTTTATAAGTTTCATGACACTTTAGAATTCAACTTGGAGATAGGTCCAATGTTAATTAGTGTGAAAACTTTTTCCTATCACATGATCCAAATTCAAATTATCAAAAAAATGTGAACTTAAATGTAAATTTGTATGGTCATCTTAATTCACCAATCCCGAATTCTCAATTGTCCACTAAGCTAATTCTAGTTACAAAAATCATTCAAGTTTGAATTTGAAGTAATTTCATCCATTGCACAAATTTCATACTATATAAATTATATAAGCCGATTAGAAATTTCAAAGTATCTCATATCCATCAAGTGATCGTCCTCGAAATTCTTAGCCTCAACCCAGATCTCAAAAGAATTGTAACTCAAGTTCTCCGTGTATTTGACTAGAATCACCAATTTGCCTCCTACACACCTAGTTCCCTTTCCCTCTAAATGCCCCTCAGCACATTGTCTGAAGCTTACCATATCTATGCCAATTTTGAAGTTTCATGCCACTACAGAATTCAACATGGAAATTCAAATGTGAGTGTGAACATTCCTTTGTAACACGCAGTCTTCAAATTTTGATTATCAAACAACTATGTAAACTCTTGTGACCATCTTAGTTCATGTCTATCTCGAATTCCCAATTTTCCACAAAGCTAATTATAATTAAAACCCCATTCAAGTTCTAATTGGAAGAAATTTCATTCTTTTGATAAATTTCGTACTATACACATTCTACAAACCGGTAAAAATTGTTGAAGTATCTCATATCGATCAAATGACCATCTTTGAAAATTCACAACCAAACGCCATATCTAAGAAAAACAATTCAAGTTCACCATGCATTTGACTAGATTTTACCAACTTGCCTCCTATCCAGCGTAGCTATGGTGGCTTTCTTGAAGGTTCTTCGTGCGACAGTCGTCCAATGACGTTACCTCAGTTCTTTTTCTTCTTTACTCTTGTTATTTTCACAACTAAACTATATTTGGTGGCATTCCAGTGCAGTTCTCGGCTCTCACGTCGTCCCTCTCAGGTGACACGAGAGCAACCAAACCCTAGCTTCGCCACCCCCTCCCTCCTCCCCCCTCCCGACCGCCACCTGAGGCACTCGTCTGCGTTGTTATGCGTCTGTCGATGAAGGTGGCAGCGAGGCTATGCTGCTCCGCGCTCCAGGTGGCCTTGGATCTCAGGGTGGCGGCCCTGATTGGCGAGGGCGCATCGATCTCGTCCGGCAGATGGAGCCACCGGTGCTGGCCGTCCCCATTGGTCATGTGGGCGGCGGTGGGTGATGGAGGCTCGTCGCTGCCGCGGGTTGCATCGTCGTCCTCGACTGCTTTGCTTCCCTGTCTCCGCTCCTTCATTATGGTCCTCCCTCGCCGCTCTGGGCGCTGCTCCTCCGGGCTGCCAGATCTTGCAGATGAGGGTGGGTGGTGGTCGTCCTAGAACGGGGGAAACCCCTGGTCGACCTCCCGTCGACCTCGACGATGGCGGCGCTTAGGTGTCGATCTCCCTCCTAAGCGTGTGTCGGGCTTCTTCACCACCTCCCTCCTCCTCTCCCATGATCCCGGGTGAAAGCCTTGGTCTTGCTGGCCAAACGGCGGTGGCGATGTGGCGTCTCGGTCCTCCTTGGAGGCATTGTTCAACGGAGGGTGAGGTTGTGGTCTCGTGGCAAGGTGTTTGCTGGCGGCAGCGTTGCTCTGCTCTTCGGGATGGCGTCTATGTTGGGGAATGCAGTATTTCAAAAAATTTCCTATGATCACACAAGATCTATCTAAGAGATGCAAAGCAACGAGAGGGGGAGAGTATGTCTACGTACCCTCGTAGATCGAAAGCGGAAGCGTTATGAAACACGGTTGATGTAGTCGAACGTCTTCGCGATCCAACCGATCAAGTACCTAACGCACGATACCTCCGCGATCTGCACACGTTCAGCTCGGTGACGTCCCTCGTACTCTTGATCCAGTTGAGGTCGAGGGAGAGTTTCGTCAGCACGACGGCGTGATGACGGTGATGATGAAGTTACCGACGCGGGGCTCCGCCTAAGCACTACAACGATATGACCGAGGTGGAATTCCGTGGAGGGGGGCACTGCACATGGCTAAACAATCAACTTGTGTGTCTATGGGGTGCCCCCCTCCCCCGTATATAAAGGGGTGGAGGAGGGGGCCGGCCGGCCACCTTGGGCGCACCCCCAAGGGGGAATCCTACTCCTACTAGGAGTAGGTTCCCCCCTTTCCTAGTCCTACTAGGAGGGGGGAGGAAGCGAGAGAGGGGAGGAAGCAAAGGGGAGCCGGCCCCCTTCCCAATTCGGATTGGGCTTGGGGGAGTATAACACCCTCGATGCAACTACATCTCCCATGTGTCGAGGCACGACTTAGAGGCATAATCGCATTGAAGGCATATGTCGCAAGTCAGGCAATCTTCACAACATCCCATGTAATATAGATAATAAAAGGGGAGAGATAACATAGTTGGCTTACACTCGCCACGTCAATCAAGTACATAAATAACATTACATCATTCAAACACTCATGGCCCGACTACGGCGCCAAAATAAAAGATAACCCAACATGCGACACGGTCCCGATCACCCCCAACTGGGCACCACTACTGATCATCAGGGAAAGAAACATAGTATCGTTGAGAGTCCTCGTCGAACTCCCACTTGAGCTCAAGCGCGTCACCTGGAGCGGAATCATCAGGCCCTGCATCTGGTGTAATAGTAATCTGTGAGCCACAGGGACTAAGCAATCTCGCACCCTCGCGATCAAGACTATTTAAGCTTAATAGGTATGGCAAGGTAAATATATGTGGAGCTGCGACAAGCGACTAGCATATATGGTGGCTATCCTGTTCGCAAAAGAGAGCGAGAAGAGAAGGCAAAGCGCGAACGCATAACTAAAGAGGGCAAACCTGCGGCAAGCATTACTCCAACACCGTGTCCACTTCCCGGACTCCGCCGAAAAGAGGCCATCACGGTAACTCACACGGTTGATTCATTTTAATTAAGTTAAGGTTCAAGTTATCTACAACCGGACATTAACAAATTCCCATCTGCCCATAACCGCGGGCAAGGCTTTCAAAAGTTCAAATCCCTGTAGGGGAGTCCCAACTTAGCCCATGACAAGCTCTCACAGTCAATGAAGGAATGGACCTCCTCACGAGACGTTCCGACCAGACTCGGTACCTCGGTTCTTCAAGACACTTCGACAGGTTAAAACAAGACCAGCAACACCGCCCGAATGTGCCGACAAATCCCGATAGGAGCTACACATATCTCGTTCTCAGGGCACACTCAGATTGTCTTAGGTACGGGTAGGCCAGCCCAGAGTTGCCCCTGGTGGCCACCGGCAGCTGACAGGTGGACCAACACTCAG